GGCGCCCTCCTTTGTGCAAGCTACTCTTTCGCCCAATATCGCTCCCCCACCTCTCCAACTGTTGATGTAATCAACTGACCGCATCACCAGCTACTAACAATCACTTCTTACAGTCAGTTTCTAGCCATGCAATAACTACATCTACCAACAAACACGTCGTAAAACGCTCAGACGCCGCCACCTACGAAATTTGACAAGTTCGTGTTACTCGTGTATATAACTATTGAATTGCTCAAATTGCTTCTCGAGGTCTCCCATTGCGGTTTCAGGCCCATTCACAAGTTATGGCTTCTGCTGGTACCACAACACCTATGGGCCCAATGTCCATCACTACTATTCTCTATGTCGTTACGAGAAATCCTCGGCAGGTATCATAGCTGTCGGTCAGCAGCGGCGACGGGCTTGATCGGTCTGATCCTGCTAGGTAGCTTGCTCGACATTTTCGATGGGAATTCCCGCCGTAATGTCCCTGTGGATAGTGGCGTTAACAACAGTCGTGTTCCATCCCACTCCGATTGACCGTTAGGCACCCAGTTATTTATTTTCACTCCAAGCAACTATTAATGGACCTCAGGGATCATGTTCGTGCTCACCGGAATCCGTTTATTCGTTCGTCGCCGTTTGGGAGAGCTGGGTCGAATCACTTTTGTCAAAGCGTAAACTACCGTTATCCATTCGCGGACAAAGAAATATCCATCAGCCCACTGCCATGACTTCACGTCGCTGATTGATAACGGCAGTTTACGCTTTGACAAAGGAGAGCCGACCTAGCTCTCCGAAACACCAGCAAACAAAAGCACCCATTTCTTATGCGGAGAGATTTCAGTTAGCAAACATGACATTTCTTTGAGTTAGAAGACTCGAAGCGGGCCTCTGCTTCCTATTTAGCGTTAACTCTAGCCCTAACCTACCACAGATCAATGCTTTTACTCCGGCAGATAGACCTTATGCCACTCGTAATTCCCCCATGGTAATTTCACCACCCTTTAGATCCTCACCTAACTATTCTCGTTTTTTGCCTCCAAATGTGTCTTCCTCTGGAATAATATTCCCGTCGAAATTGGACTACCTTACCTTTGCAGTTTTTAAGGCCAAATTACGTAAACATTTAACTTCGGAGGATATAAAGTCGATAGAATTACGGCCACAGCTGCATAGATTTGCGGCTTTATTTCTTATAATTTTTGTCCTCCTGAAATGAAATTAAGACTTTATCGTATGTTTATGCTTCCCACCTTAGAATACTGTTGTGCATTCTTCGGTCTGATGAACGAAGTTAGCCGTTCAAAAACTGAAACAGTCCAAAAAAGTTTCACAAGAAAACTGCTTTATCCGACATTTCCAAACACTTCTTACACAAATAGACGCCAATTAACGAAACTAAGATTTCTTTGGGTCAGAAGATTGGAAGCAGGCTTTTGTTTCCTTTTTCGCCTTAATAATAGCACAAATCTCCCCAAGCTTTCTGTCATTACCCTCGTCAGTCGTCCCTACAACCTAATTAACTCGGCACTTGTTATACCTCCTCCTGCAC